ACATATATATATACACACATACATACATACATACATACATACATCATAATTTTCTGTTCTTTATTTATTTCCCCTCTCATCCTTCCACCTGTCAACCTGTAGAGCAGAGACACACATACACACTACAGCCAACATAATCGTCCCCTTTTCTCCCGACATCGATAATTAACTGGCCTGTATTCACTTTTGTAATCACCTTTCTTGTCTGATCTGTATTCACTGTCTTTGTTGTCTTGTTAGTGTTTTGTATTGTCTTGCAATAAAAGATAAAAAAAAACTGGCTCATGCACATCTTTGAAGAGTCTCCTGAACAGGTGCGTAGGAAAAAACTTCAGCAGGTCAAGAAAGAAAAAAGATTCGGTCATTACGACCTTCAGGCAAACGAAGGTTGTAATGACCGAAATGTAGCTGCCTTGTCCCATTAAATATTTTACAGTGTGCGGGAATCTTTTTTCTGTCTTAACTTGCAATAAAAGATAAAATAAAATAAAAAAAAGCCAGATGTTAAGGTGTGAGTGGATTTTTTTTGTGCAGTGGGGAAGGGACTTTATTGTCAAAGATGACAAAATTATACGTAGTGGCTTGAGCGATTCCCAACTTTGGGTACTTGGCTGGAGTGAGATTTTGATGCCATGGACTCAATCACCTGTTAGCATGGACCTCTAGGAGGGTCTCAGGCAATCCTCTGTTGGTACTTTTTTTCTACTTTTTTTCTTTTCTTTTTGATAAACAAGCTCTATCTTGATGCTTTTTTAATGCGCTATGGCACATTATGTTGAATTCAAAGTACACATTATTGAAAAATGGAAATGTGTGTGTCAAAAACTGATAACTGATAATACTACATTTTATTTTTTAGGTGCCTTTCTAGACACTCAAGGTCACCTTATAAGCAAAGATAGAGACAATAACAGATTAATCAAGTCGGCAAAATAAGGAATAAAGTAACAGAAATAAACACTGGAAATACAACACAACAACAAAAAAATAAGCAAAAGAAGATTCAGTGTAATCCGCAGATATGTGTGGCTAGACAGATGGGAGTTAGATGGAAGAATAAGCTATTTAAAAGAGATGAGTTTTGAGGTGGGATCTGAAAGTAGAGAGAGTTGATGTCATGAATGTCCAGTGGGAGGGAGGTTCAGATGTGAGGGGAAGAGTGGCTGAAGGTTCTAGACCCCATGATGGTCGGACAGGCTGGCGGGACAGTAAGATGGATGGATGAGGAAGACCTGAGAGAGTGGATGTGGTTGTGGATGTGCAAGAGTTGGGGAGGTACAGAGGAGGTTGTGGATTGCCCTAAAGGTGAGGTGTAAGATCTTAAAGTCAACATGGTATTTAACAAGGAGCCAGTGAAGCTGCTGAAGGACAGGAGTGATGTGATTGATGGAGGGGGTTCTGGTGATGATGAGTATGGGTCAGCAGGGCTGCCAACTTTTCAAAAAACCTTGAAGTGAGATTTGGTAGGGCCAACCGAAATTTTGCCACATACCCTGCAATTTTTTGTATGGCCCATTCAGTGTCATTACCATACAGCAAAAACTTTTTTCTTTTTTTTTTAAATATACCATTTTCCATACATCAGTAGTTCTCAATGTATTAGCCTAACTCAGAGTGTACCAATTGAACCAACTGACCCAACAGTAAGACACAAGACACAGCATGGCTCAAATTTGTGCATGTTTACTTTGGGATTCTGTATAAAAATAAAGTCATCAAATAGTAAACAGATATACAACATCATGCAAGAAACATTTAAATAAAAATGAAAACCCCCAAAAGCTACAGTATCTCACATAAGTGAGTACACCCCTCCCATTTTTGGAAATATTTTATTATATCTTGTCATGGGACAACACTATAGAAATGACACTTTGATATAACTTAAAGTAGTCAGTGTACAGCTTGTATAGTAGTATAGATTTACCTTCCTCTGAAAATTACTCAAAACACAGCCATCAACATCTAAACAGCTGGCAACATAAGTGAGTACACCCCACAGTGAACATGTCTAAATTGTGCCAAAAGTGTCAATATTTTGTGTGCCAACCATTATTGTCTAGCACTGCCTTAACCCTTTTGGCATGGAATTCACCAGAGCTCACAGGTTGCTTTAGGAATCTTCTCCCACTCCTCCATTATGACATCATGGAGCAGATGGATGTGAAGACATCTTGTTCTTTTCTACTTTCAGCTTGAGGATGTCCCACAGGTGCACAGGTGAGTTTAGGGCTGGATACATACTTGGCCAGTCCATCACCTTTACCTTCAGCTTCCTCAGCAAGGCAGTTGTCATCTTCTAGGTGTGTTTTGGATCATTATCATGTTGGAAAATTGCATTGCAGATCAGTTTCTGAAGAGGGGCGATCATGGCCCGCTTGGAATTCATGTTTCCTTGAATGAACCGAGATCCCCAGAGCTGTCCCTTGCCTACAGTCAAGTATAGTGGTGGCAGCATCATGGTTTGGGGCTGAATGAGTGCTGCCGGCTCTGGGGAGCTCGGTTCATTCAAGGAAACATGAATTCCAAGCGGGGCATGATCACCCCTCTTCAGAAACTGATCTGCAATGCAATTTTCCAACATGATAATGACCCAAAACACACCTAGAAGATGACAACTGCCTTGCTGAGGAAGCTGAAGGTAAAGGTGATGGACTGGCCAAGTATGTATCCAGCCCTAAACTCACCTGTGCACCTGTGGGTCATCCTCAAGCTGTAGGTTGTGTAGTTCAAGGTGTTTTCACATCCATCTTCTCCATGATGTCATCATGGAGGAGTGGGAGAGGATTCCTAAAGCAACCTGTGAGCTCTGGTGAATTCCATGCCAAAAGGGTTAAGGCAGTGCTAGATAATAATGGTTGGCACACAAAATATTGACACTTTTGGCACAATTTTGACATGTTCACTGTGGGGTGTACTCACTTATGTTGCCAGCTGTTTAGATGTTGATGGCTGTGTTTTGAGTAATTTTCAGAGGAAGGTAAATCTATACTACTATACAAGCTGTACACTGACTACTTTAAGTTATATCAAAGTGTCATTTCTATAGTGTTGTCCCATGACAAGATATAATAAAATATTTCCAAAAATGGGAGGAGTGTACTCACTTATGTGAGATACTGTATGTTATTGTGACATTTTTGAACATCCCCAAACTACATGCAGCTAATACCAATTTAAATAAAAAAAATTTTAAATTAAAGTTTAACCATTTATACAAACAATTCCCAAAATAGGGAGGCTACTGTCAAAGTCATTAAGATCTGTGTGCTTTGTTGTACTTGCTTGTGGCCTTTTTTGAGGCCTTGATGATTTCTGGGGAGGGCTCCCACGTGAAGCAGAACTCCAGGCCAGCCATCTTTATTGTCATTATTGATGACAGGGTTCCATCCAGAGCCAGGCTGTTCCTGGTTTTAGTCTCTCTCTCTGCATCTGCATTGGAGTGGGGTAACACCAGGATCAGCTTTGCAATGGTGGCAAGTCTCATGAACAGACTTAACCCTGTCACCTATGAAGAATGAACCAAGAACACAGTGGAAACAAAATCTCACATTCCTTTGAAAGATGAGTAAAGGTTGATAATTAATTTTGTCTAAAACAAAATGTACGCACCTACTGTATATGATGCTTTATACATACATAACAAATTATTCTAATTTGTATATACTACTATATATACAGTAATTAATATACAATTATAAAGCAGCATAGAGGAATGGTTTTGTATAGATAAAACAGACAAAATTAATTAGGCATCAACCTACAGTATACTTTTACAGCTGCATTGAAACCTCAAAATAATATGTACAAAGCTCTCGAAATGCCTTTAAATGATCTCACAACACAAAAAACAAATATGCAAACGTTACTTAACGTTTAAGAGCACAAACACTTAACATACATACCTAAAAAGAGCGGGGGAAATCGATCTTCTTCTTCTTTTTCTTCTTCTTCTTCTCCTCCTCCTTCTCCTTCTTCTTCTGAGTGCAGTCTCGGTGTCAATTGGGCCACAGCGCCACCAACATCCAATGTAGCGGTCGGGAGGTGTATTGCACATTGAAACAGGAACTTTTTTTGTTCTGGCTCAGACGGACACTTCAGCGTGAGAAATCGGGGGTGTGGTGTGAGAGCGTGTGAAGCCAATCAAATGCGTGTGTCTCACGGCCAGTGCATGAGAGATGGCAGTCCTGGGTCAGCCTGTTTGGTCCTGTTGGTCAGTGTTTAATTATTCAAATGACATTCATGGTCCCAGAGAGTGAGTGACCTGACATGGTGTGTCCGTAAATTCAGTGTGACGCTCTACAATAAAATGAAAGCCCTGTTGGTCGAAGAAACAGAGCATTATGTTTCTACATGAATTAATGAATGGTTAAGTTAATCACACATTCACTCTGCTTGATGCTCTGCTGCTTTGTCTCCCCAGACAGAGAGCATTACTTATGTCTGTGGAGACAACAGTGACAGTGTGTGACTCAGATATGTGACAGTTGGCAATCCTGATAAATAGCCTACCGATTGCCTCATTGAACAGAGCCTGTTATACCTGTTTTTTGACAACACTATTAAAAAACCCAGCCCTCTGACTACGCCTTATATTGTTAGACAACATTCTTGTTATGTTACTTATGATAATGGTATGTCTTCAAATGGTATCAGATGAATCTGAGCCAAGTCCTCAACGAGGGCACGTCTCAAGCCCGTCGTAGAGTTTCCAGAAGTAAAAAAGCAGATTCAGCTGTGCCTTTAAAAGAAACTCACCCCATTGAGGTGGCTCTTTTGGCACGTAGGAGTGTTTAATGTTACAACAAGGTGGGATACTCTTGTCTATTACTGCTGTGAGCGTGCTCCAGTGCTGTCTGAAGTCACCACCCTCCCATTCATTACCGGGAAATCGAGCAATCACAACGAACTTTTCGGCAAATGAGCAGGACAGAGTGCAGAACCAGCTAAGATATCATCACTGTGTTCTCTCCACACGATTCTCTGCTGAGGTAAGACACATTATATGCTCGATTAAAGTACATTTAGAGTTTCCTTTTATAGACGTGAAAACTAAATGTTGCCACCAACCATTCTAATGTACATGTGAACTTTTGAGGTACTTTTATACTTCAGTTTTATGTCACTTTATACTTCTGTTCTACATTTCAGAGATGAATATTGTTCTTTGTTCTCAATTACATTCATTCAACTATAGTTACTGTGTACTTTGTTGATTAGGAGTTACAAAGGGGTAAAACTGGATCAGTTAATAAAATCATGCAGTCAAAACTTTATGTAGATAAAACAATGAAAACTTTAGCATATTACCAAAGTGCCAAAAGTTAAAGTAATCATTATGCAGAATAGAATTCTGTAGATTATTGTTGTATAACAGTATATTGATACATTATGTGCATATCAATTTAATATTGCAGCTAATGGTTGGGATAATTTGACCTACTTTGTATATTGATCTACAGTAATACATCATAATGTATTTGATAATTATAGTTTGTATCAACCTGAACATGTTAAGTAAGTAGGAATTATAACTTTAAAATGCAGAGAAACATGGGGGGTGTTAAGTTCTTTTATCTGTGGGATATTTCCTTTTATCTGGTGGGGGGAAGTTTCCTGTACTGGTAAATTTGTTTTATGGAGGTAATCCAGTTCCTTATGTATTTTTGTTTAAACTTTTTGGAGAGTTGATTAACTATGCATTTTTGGAATTGTTGGAACATGAGGAATATGAAAACAAATGTTTCTTCTTTTTTTTTCCAAACTCTTTTTGGTGGCCATTTTGGATTTTAAAAATGGCAAGTGTTCAAAACGCCTTTTTAAACAAAATGTCAGGTTCCAAGCTATGCAGGTATTTACTTTCATGGCTAAATATGCATTTTTTACTCAGATATTAAGATAAACTAAGAACAGTCACTTGGATATACCATAATTGAATTTGATGGTCAAAGGTCAAAGGACTGGTGTGCGGAGGCGTACAGCCACAGGGCGGTAATTACAGTTTTAGTGACTGCCTGTCAACTTAAAATGTAATTCCTAATCTTCAGTATAACTTTGATTTTGATCCTGGTTCTGGTTCTCACCTTGTTTACTGCAAAAGCAAAGGTCAGTGCATAGTAAGTCTTTTGACCTACAGGAACATCTTCGTGTTGACTATCCATTGCAGTGGCATCTCACCCTTTCAATGATGGCCTGAAGAGCTGGCAGTACATGTGGGTCTCAACTGGCCTTTATCATCCATGTACACATTTTGCCCCAAATTTGGGGCCAGAATTTGAGCTTGCACATGTAGTTCCCCTATCAATAAGCTGTTTCAGCGCATCTTCTGTAGGTGGTAGCTTGATACTCTCTGCCTTATATTTGTCAAAATGTGCCATCTCAGCTCTGGAATGTTTCTTATTGTGATTCCTTTTGAGTAAAAGCAAGTACACATAAACCTAGTCGAGTGGTTCTGTTGTTCCTCCACTACTAAAAAAATTATCTGAAAGCATCCTCAGAGTTTCAACGATGTCATCTTCGGTGCGTGGAAGATCTTCAACCATCTTCCTGTCAGTGTTGGGCAAGCTACTTGGAAAGTGTAGTGAGCTAAGCTACTAGTTACTCTAATATTAAATGAAGCTTCACTACATCAAAGCTATCACCCTCAGAAATGTAGCAAGCTAAGCTACAGCAAAATGAAAGTAACTAGTGCAACTACATCCAAGCTTTTTACTAAATTGAACCAACTTCTTGCCAAGTCAGTGTTATCTTACTGATCAATAAAACTGTCAGTCAAACAGATAGGCAGGTAAAAAAGTTAAGTTCAATTGTTTATTGAACAGTGAGCTGCACTAATTCCCAACACGACTCAAACCACAACAGCAAGAATGAAGACCTGCTTCAAACAGTCACAACATGGTCAAACACGTACATGGGTGTATGTATGTGTATGTACACTGTAAAAACTCAAAATCTTACCAAGAATATTTATTTCTGTCAAAACAAATATCATTACAGTTGAAATAAGACTCATCATCTAAAAAGTAACTTGTTTTTAGACAATTTTCACTTGTTTCAGGAAAATTTTCACTTGAAATAAGTAGAAAAAAAATCTGCCCATGGAGCAAGTTTTTTTTTTTTTCTTATTGCAAGCAAAAGAAAAAACTTGCTCCATGGGCAGATTTTTCATACTTATTTCAAGTGAAAATTTGCTTGAAACAAGTATTTTTTAAGTGTAAAGAGATGTGTTTTGACTAGAAATTAGGCTAGTAAACACGTTTTAGTAAACACATTTTATAGTGAGCAGCATACACATGTATGTCCCCTACAAATCCCAACCTTGTTTACAAAGTTTGAATGAACGAGACTGACGCAAAGGAAACTGAGGCTGCGTATTGATCCTTTTGCCTCTGTCTGCAGGAACGAATATAAATCCCATTCATGATGGGGTCAAATGGATTATGTGCATTATTAACCACAAAACAAGCATACTGCGTCTTAATGACATATAACACTCATTATGCTTCAGCTGAATCCTCTAAGCAAATGACCATGTTGAATTGAAATTAGTTTATCACGTTAAATGTCCGAAATTGTATGAAATTGCTCCATTGCTTTAAACCAATCTTTTTGCATAATCACACTGCCTGATATGTCCTGGCAAACACAGTTGGACTGCTGTACAGACCGTTGGTCTTTCTTACCCTAACCCTGGTTATTTTCTGAAAGCACAAAGCAAAGAAATGTCTTTTTTTCTCCCCTGGTCTGCTGTCAGCAGAGAGCAGCGGCTGCAGCGGGGATGTCAGCACCACGGATGGCTCACGTAAAAAGACTTGACAAGCGTCTCCTTTAAATGTGTTTGCTGCTAGCGAAATTATACATAATAAATGAAGACAGTGACATATTTTCAATAAAAAACAATGAGTTGAACGTTCATTTCAAGCTTTTGTAGTACAATGAGTTTCAGAATTGTGCGAGTGCGGCCGGAGAGCGGGCGGCAGTGTTTGATGCAGGAAACTCGATATGGACTTGAAAATCAATTTCAGAGTGGGGGTCGTTTGGAACGGCGGGGTTTCGGAACGGCGGTGTTTCGGAATGGAGGGCTGTCCCCCGTCAGGATCGTGTGGAAGTGACTCTGTGTAGTAGCGGTGACAGTTTTATTTCAGTCCATAATTCAGTCCCCGCCTCGTTTGAGCTTCAAAAATGATTTTGGAAATGTAACTTGTGTGGACGCTACCGCGCTAAGTGATCAGTAAAAAGAGCTTAACTACTGAGAAGTTACTTGATTCAGAAAACAGCGACACTACCACCAAGCTACTGAGAAATGTAGCCTAGTTAAACTACAAACGTCCGCTACTGTAGTGACGCTACTGCCCAACACTGCTTCCTGTATATTTTAGAATCCAGTTTAAGATTTTATTGTTTATTTTTAAGGCTTTGAATGGGCTGGCCCCATCCTACCTTTCCGTTCTTTTGCAAAAATGTGTTTCATCATGGTCATTGAGATCGGCGGCCAGATCACTTCTTGTTGTCCCAAGAACAGGGTTAGCGCAGAGGGGAGACAGAGCCTTTGCAATTGTGGCCCAAACTCTGGAATGAGCTGCTCCTCCAGGTTAGACTGGCCGATACCCTCCCTGTTTTTAAATCTCGTTTAAAAACCCACCTGTTTTTGTCGGCCTTCTTGGCCCCTGTATGAGAGTTGGCAGCCTTTTGTAGTCTTATTTTGTGTTTCCTTTTCTTGTGTTTTATTTATTGACTTTTTGTATATTATATTTTATGTACAGCACTTTGGTCAACGCTGTTGTTTTTAAATATGCTATATAAATAAATTTGTTAATTTATTGTAGTGTATCTTGCGTTATTCCTAGTTAACACGACACAACTTAAGCCCTGATTAGCCACTAATTTAAAATACTCTAATTTTTGGAGCTCGCCACCAGGGGCCCCAGATAAGACACAAATCAGTGTTAGCTCCACACTCACAAAATTGGTGCTCGAATGCAAACTGTTCAAAAAAGTGAGGCGAGAAGTCACCAATGCAATGCTGCCAGATATCTAACATGGTGAGTATCTGGACCCAGGGGTTGACTGGGACACAAATTCAGCCCGGGATACTCAGGCGCACCTGCCCACACACTGGTCCCAACGTTTCTACCTATAATCCGCTATATGTTGTACACACTACATAAACGCTGTCCTCAGAATCTGCTGCATAAGAAAATCAGCATCCAAACTATAAAATTAATGCAATAATGAATTGGCCACAAATGGCTATGTGCTTATTATTTAACTTAAAATAAGAGCATATGACTTTATCCTAATGTAGCAGCATAGAAATGTTTAGTCATTTTCTATGTACTACGTTGCCACTTTAAGTGGGCGCCCCAAGTGGCCAGTCATCAAGGTGGCAGCATATAAAAGTTGTGCCCCCCCCTCCCCCCCCTGTTTCTTCCTTTTGCGCTCCCACCGGACACGTCACTTCTGGGTTGGAGGTGTTTGCCCTCGAAAAGGTATGGCTGCTCGCTGTTTCCTGTCTTCTGTTGTTTGGTCTCTTTGTTGTGCTGAAGGCATGTATTTTGTACTGCAGAGTGGCGGTTCATGTGCCCCTGGCTCCTGTGTGTGCCGTCTGGTTGTTTTATGCTGGGAAGTGTCCTTCTCTCTTAGCGTTGTTGTGCATGCTATCATGTGGCTAACGCTAGTGTGGTCACAGGTAAATGCTGGTAGCTGCATGGGTCCCTCTCTCCCTCCCTCCTCGCGTGTGTGTGTATATCTGCTGCTTTGAAAAGGTGTGTAGCTTTTAATGTAGCTTGCAAACGCGTCATTTTTCAGTTTAGTGTAGATCGTTTGAGTAACACTAACTTTATTAGGTGAAGCTGTAATCAGATGTTCAAGTTTACCGCTGTAGCGTGTGACGTCATAATCAGCTGACTGGGACCGCTGCTGCTTTGTCTCTGCTGCTTGTCTCGCCTAAACTTCTACGTGGCGTTGCTTATGCCGCTTTGTCTTGCCTCAC